AGCTTGACCTTGTGCAATAATTCCTTCAAAAGCTTGGAGACGAGCATCTGCAGCCATGGAGCCAGCAATGCAGGCAAAGAAGATAATAGCAAGAACAGCTTTCATTGTAATTGGTTTGTTTCGAAAACGAACTGGAGATTGAAATGTGATGTGAATGAATGAAGATAGATAGCAATATGCTTCTCTTTATATATCGTTTTTTCGAGTATGTCAATGTCGTTTGAAGAAAATAACAATCGCATGATGAGAAGATTGCCATCTGCTGATTAGAATGATCGTTTCATCTAGCTTTTGGGTAGTTTTTGATTGTACCATCATCAAACACCTACGTAGTTATTTTGTTGGTGCTCTGCTAGTCAAGGAGAATTATCTGCTTATGCAAATATGCTTGTTTTTCACTGCTGAGAACAAAATACAGATGCTTACAGGGTTCTCGTTGTCGTTTTGATATTCAACTGATGTTTAAACGAAGATAAATAAGAACGAAATATTGTTTCGTAAAACAGTATTACTTTAAATAATTTTAATACTATGCATGACGAATCTTATTCTAACGTACGCAAAAGTTTATTCACGAGCATGTTTGATAAATTTTAAAAGTTGAATCCTTGTTCTTGATTTTTTTCCAGATTTTTATTTGATAGCATGTAATAGACAGAAGTAAAATTATTGACGCGAAATTGTATAGTAAAGAAGAAAAAATTGATAATTCTGCTAAGAAGAATTATCTGTTTTACTTTTTAGTACTCAAAAAAAATGTTTTTAAGCAGTTGAAATTGAGTACAAATCTGCAGTACGATTTGTTTTTCAATGAAGTTTTGTTTATTAGATCGTTCTCTCAAAACAAATATTCCTTCATCACTAACAGAAAAAGAAGACTCAAACCTTTATATACAGGGTGTACCATAAATAACTTTACGATAAAAAAAAATGAATATCTCGTCACTGGTTCAACGGATCGGGCTCATTTTCCACCCATTAATAGACACCTCAGAGTTTTTTTTTTCATACGGCAACTGTCGTTAGATGCTCCTTTGAGCTATGACTTTTCAACAAAATACAAAATGTTACTTTTAAAATTTTGGTAAAAGTCGTCCCTGCCCAATTGAGATAATCAAACTTTGCTGAATTTAATATTTTTTATACACGGAAGAGTTTTTGCGAACATTGGTAAGAATCATTTAAAAAAATCTTGAACCTCGATTTTTAATGAATTTTTCCCCAAAAGCTCTAAAATATCAGTTTTCGCAGAAAGTGAGTATATTGAGAACTCAATATCTCAAGACCATCTCGACCAATCAAGCTGAAATTTTCAGAAACGATAGATATCTTTTAGTTCTAATTATAGTAAAATTTCAAACATCCATCTCTCTCTAGTCGCGAGATATAAAGCATCAAATCCGCCTAAAATCATGATTTTGATGAGTGAGATCGTTAGAATATCCAGTACTGAACTCTTCAAGCTGAAAGTTACACTACACGAACAACTCAGCGGTATGTATCTATACAAAAAAAAATTTAGCTTGATTGGACAAGACATTCTTGAAATATTGAGTCATCAATATATTCACTTTCTCCAAGAACTGCTACTGTAGGACTTGAAAAAAAATTCATTAAAAAGCAATGGTTCAAGATATTTGGAAAAGGTTTTCAGCAATATTGGTAGAACTCCTTCCTCTATAAAATACATTTAATTCAGTCAAATCCAATTATCCCAATAGAACAGAAACAATTTTGACTGAAATTGAAAATCTTATTGTTTGGTATTTTATTGAAAAGTCCTACTTCAAGTGAATAGCTATTGACAGTTTTGAAATGAAAAAAATTCTGAAATGTCCTTTATAAACAAGGAAAAAATGAGCCGGATCCATTGAATCAGTCACGAGATATTAATTGTTTTTACCGTAAAGTTATTTATGGCACACCCTGTATATATATATATCTAAGAAATTTATCGAGATCAAAGTAATACAGCTCTATACAATGATTCTTACTGTTTAGCCAAGTTTGTATTTTATTTTTTCTTCGAAATAATGGAATATAATGTGAACGATTATAACAAAATAAATCTGTATATATGTTGTTGAATCGGCTTTTCGTTGATGGATGCATCATTTATTATAAAGTAACGTTGGTGTTCAGTCTTAAAAAATAACTACATTGGCATTTTTTTCAAAATCTAAGAAATCCGAAACATTTTAAGCATTGTTGATATTGCCATTATAGTGAGAGAAAACTTCCGACCTTTTTGCAAGCTCAGGTGATTGAAGTTAATGTTCTATTGCTTATTATTTTTAATTTACATGCTTGAA